GATGAGCTAACGCCTCTCGTGGTACAGTAGCAGCATCACGCGCGAAGAGGAAAGGGTTGATAAATGATTTTCCTCCTCCCACCAAGAGAATAACGCAGAGTCAATTCTTCGTTCCGTGTGCCTCTCTCAGTGGCCTCAGTATCCTATCTATCCAACACCTCATGGAAGCGTACGCCACGGGGAGGAGGAGGACGACAGGTTTCCTGCCCCGATGAATCAACCTTATGAGACCAGTAAACAGCCTCCTGACTTATTCATTACGATGTAGGTCTTACACGGTAAGTCATGGAGAATGGATGGAAATGGGATGGAAAACCCGATTTACAATAATAAGCTCTCCATCCACGTAACACCATATTACGTATATGTAAGAATGTCTAATAAAACCTATATCGACTGGTTTGGTCTTAGCAGGAGGTATTAATTATAATGCAATAAAAAATGAACACAACACAAGGATATAAAAGCTAGAAGCCGCAGTTTCATCATCATCGTCGTCGTTTTCTTTCTCTTTTCCCTTATTTAAGAGAAGGAAGCGAAAAGAAAAAAAGGAAAAGGATAAGGATAAAACGAAAATGATAAACATAAGACCAGAACGGAACAGATGGCGTGGGAGCGGGGAAAAAAAGGGCAATCAAAGCAAGTACCTGGAGGAGGAGATCACAGACATAACAAAATGGGAAAGCCCCTTGGCCACCTCATTCCCTTCCCTCTGATATGGATAAACTAAATCACATCACAACAGGATCTGCGATATGCGCAGAGAGGGGGTTGATCAGACATCGACGCATATATTAGGACAAACATGATCAGGTATCTATCATCTATATCGGCTTGCATCTTTGTTTCAAAGAGTCAAATTCACCCAAAACTTTGTTTAAAACAAAAGGATGGACAGCTAGTTAAAGGGATGAAGGGAGAAAAAGGGAGATAAACGATGGTTCCAGAGATGGAAAACTTGAGAAAATAGAAATCCTTCGTGATTAGAATGGCAAACATGGAATTAAAGTTTGGGGAGACGCGCAAAAACAATAAATGAGGGGTGGAAAATTCACGATGCGTACGCGATGAATGGAGGCAACAAGGAGGTTGGAAAGAAACAGAATGAATGAAAATGAAAATAAAAAAAGAATTACTGGAAGCAAGAAGGAAGAAAATACTTGAGTTGAATGATAATAACGGCGAAAATTAAAAATGAAATGAAGGTCTGAAGGAAGGGAATGAAGAAAAAGTAGAACGTAGGAACAAAGGTATATCAAAAACATAGGACGAGATAATGCGGAATTCCGTTATTCACTCTCAAATAAACCAATCCAAATCAACTAGAGAAGAAATAAAAGAAAATGAAGAAAATAAATAAGAGATCATAGCAGACGAAGTTTTTAATCCATTTTCACGTGGGTTTATCACACCCAATCCGTCCCAACAGCGCTTTCCGGTCATTTTGATCAGTCAAGGTAACTCGTCCTCGTCCGGTCCTGATTCGCACGGGATGATGACCTTGCCCCGAGGATGATGAGACAGAACTCCCAGACACGATCGCCGTGCCATTCCCACGACCACCATCCCTAACACCAGCATTCCCTTCCGTCCTTAAATTTTGCGAATCCACCTCTTCGTCATCTTCTTCCTCATCATCACTCCGCGAATCCTCTGCCGACCCACTCTTCAGAACCTTGACAGCTACACGTAGAATCATCGTGAACCATAAAATCGCGAGGATCTGCAGGAATAACAGGAAAGAGAGGAAAACCCATTTGACGCGTGGACTCATGCAAATGCGACCGCCCAGATCTCGGAATGGCTGGAGGAGGTGGCTCCAGTTGTTTAGGTCTATGGATGCGGCGCCGTCTAGGGTGGCGTTTGCAGCGGGTGAAATCATCTCGGTTGTAGTTGCAGAGTAGCAACCATAGGGCATAACGTCTGGGACGTTGATATAGATAGACCACCAGAGGAGATTGTAGACGATATGGCGGGAGATTACCCAAGTGACAAGGAAGACTATGAAGCCCACCGTGCAGGCACGTTCGTACCCGAGGTATTTGAAGATTTTTGCGGCCTATATTGTTGATTTCGTGTTAATTATCAATTTTCAACATGCCTCTAGAACTGGTTGGTCTAACGCGGTGGAAGAGAAAGTATGTTTGCTAGCTTACCGGCAGCAGAAAATCAACAATGTCCATAATGCAGAGGACGACGTTGGCGACATTATAAAAGCCATAGACGTAAGCAGACCCTAACAGGGTGCTTGTGACTATGTGATGGACCAGCATCTGACAATAATCTTTGCGTCTCTCCTCAATGTTGATAACAAGGATCTGTTGGAACCAGAACGCCAGCTGCGTCAGACAGTACCATTTGAAGACACCAGAGATATCTCTGGAGGGCCAATCGGTCCATATCTCGCGGAAATTATAACGCTACTTAGAATTGTACCAAAGGAACTAAAAATATAATTGAAGG